ATTATAGTCATTTTAGGTTGCCAATTATATACATTTGTTGCTGGAACTATATATATAGTTACTGTTATTATTATTATAGCAGTAATAATCATAATTATAGTAATATATAATTATAGTTATAGTACAAATACCAAACATTTTTCTCTCTGTGTGAGAGTCGCATTTTTTTTAGCGCATACTGTGTAAAAATTAAATTGTAATTACATACACAATTATATAATTATATATAGATTGTATTACCTATATATGTATTTGTATATATATGAGTATATTAATTAATATTCACGAGTTTAAATATTCTGTAATGGAGGAAGATCTTAAAAGTTGCCAGTTATATGATAATTGAATCTATATGATGCAAATGATCCCTTTTCTCTTGATAAATTCGATTACTGGGTCTTTATTAACCGGCGTCACATCCTGTTCTCTTTCCAGAGGACGAGAGTGCCGTGGTGCAGGGTGTTGTTACGCAAGATGGTCTCTTCGATGGCAGTGTCGTGACCAGATTCGAGGAGTACTACATCGAGCCAACGAGTAGGTATTTGAATAAAAATGAAGACACGTCACCGCCCTATCACAGCATAGCTTATCGCACCTCCGATGTTACCACCCCGCCACATCCATTACCCTGTGCCAGTCATCAACTGCATCAAGAGGGGTCTCTTCGCGATTCCTTCGATAGGTGAGTTCTATCTTGCGCTCTTGAATTTCTGAGCGATGATTATCGATGTAGAGACGAAAGTATAAATCGCTTCTCGGATCGTATAATGGGTTTTAAAATTCACAGATGATTTTTTATGCTATTCGCATAACGTATTTTTTGTCAAACCATACAGAAATATCATTCTATTGCTAAGAAACGTGATTACAATTTATCTTTTTTTTTTTTTTAAGTAATGGTTATCTTTAATAAAGAATATTTTCTTGATAATAGTCTTAAAATATATTTATTATACAAAAATTTTAGAAAAACTTATTATTATGTACTCAAAATAAAAATTTATTTTTTTTTTAAGAATATTATAAAATTCTATTATATATATATATAATAAGCAAATAAAATTTGTATTAACTTAATAATCTTGATTGAAATATTAAATTCACTAAAATACAGAATATATTTTGAATAAATTTGATGCTTGTAATAAACTTAAAAATGCGAATATTTTAACAAATTTGCGAATATATGAACATTTGAAGTACTTTTGAAACAAGTCATATTTAAATTCAGTGGCGGGCCCGTATTCAGATTTCAGAATGCGTTATATAACGTAAACCATATGCTAATGCGTGCTAATATTTTTATAAATGCACTCTGAATAGGAGAGACCGGGACTGGTTGTCATACGAAGTTGATTGTCAAAATGCTTATAACTCAAACAGAACATGGCAGAAAAATCTCTTTTTTTGAATGTAGATTGCTGATATAATATTAATTTGGTGTGTAAAATGATTTGCACTACACAAAAGCATTATATATATTACTTATAACGATTTTTAAGAAAATGAAGTTGGTGAGGAAATTTTTCTTATCACCTATTTTGTGTCTGACAAGTCTTTGGCATTATTAATCGTGATATCCTTGTATTGTAGAAAATGACATGTCTTAGAAAATCTTTGCTACAATTAATTAATCATTATCGTGACAAAGTTTGTGAATATAATCTTTTTTATTAAAACTGGCTATGTGGAGTAAATTGAACAAAATGAGACGGGGTTAGGTGACAATTAATTTTAATATCTTTAGAGAACACATTTTCAGAGAATATACTTAAAAATATATTATATTTCATATAGATATATATGTTTATTCATTTTTCATATAGAAACTGCAATACAAAAACAAATTACGTATTTTATGATTAAAATAACTATTTTGTTTGTATTAATATAATAATTAATGGTATTAATATAATACAGTTATATTAATATAATACACGGGGTTAATTGTCACATTTTCGCAGCTTCATTTAAATAACTTAATTTTATGATATGATGAATTTACGAATATATTTTGTTTTAATACCTGAAGAATGTAGGTATATTATAACGTAATATTTCAAAATCAAGCATTCACGTTTTTCTAAAAATCACTAATCAAAAACTGTGACAACCAGTCTCGGTCTCCCCTACGGTCCAATATGTATATTTTTCTGTCTACATATTTATCGTTTTTAGTTTAACGATGACGTGAAAGCGATTATTCGCGAAACTTTTTGTCTATCTTATAAGATAGATTTAAAATTTGAATTGTGACGATACATAATCTTCTTGTCGATAGGCATGCATTTATATTTAAAGTAATTTTCTAGAATGTATTTAGTTCATTTGAGAATTTTTTAAACATTAGGATGCGACAGACTTTGTTTTACGATCATATTGAGATGATTTCTCGTAAAATGTTTTATATACTCGTACAATTAATACATTTTATAATTAACTCAAGTATTATTTATGATAAATATAACTGATGAAATGGCTACGCTCTTGTTAAGACATTCTTCTAAGTGCTTATGTTCTCTCGTATATTTTCTACTTTATGAAAATACATTCGCGAAGAAAATGATAAAAGAGCATATTGTTGGCAAACGCGCGATAATTTAGACACGTGTAGAGGAAATTCCCGCCGGCCGGGATTATCATATATTATGCGTTCTATGTCAGTCTTCATATGGCGGACTTTAAATGTAAATTTAAACTTCGCGATGTCTGTTCCTCTAGATATAGGTACAACAATTCTCAGGCATTCTACGAGCCTCTGCTCGGCGAGCACGTTGCTCTCTACTCGAGGGAAAACAATGCGAGAGTGTTAACGTTAGAAACGAATAATGACGTCGAGTACACGGACGCGTAAGTATCTTGCATTTATAGTAAAAAAGATCTCGAATCTTTTTCCTGATTAATGTACGCAAACCAATCTATTTTATTATACGTTGCGTATGATAAAACAAATCTATTTTATTATATGTTGTGCTATTTTTCAAAACGTGGGAAAGTTTAAACTAGATCGTACCGGTATAAAAAGTTTCAAATATTTATTTAAAGAACAGAAAAATAAAAATAATTAATTATGTTTTTATAAAAACTGGACGTATATTTAAATGTCTCTTTATGTTACAATGTGTCCTTTCTCCTCTCACTAGTTTTTTATTAATTTTTTTTATTTAAAGAAACGTGTGTCTCGCGTTTTTTTAAAAGAAGAAATCGATTAAAGTTACTAATTAAAGTTATTTATTTGATGACGGGAGAGACAATGAGTAACACGAAAGAGACGACGATTTTACTTTAAATTCTAGTAGCTTTGTTTCTCTTCTGGGTCAATTCACGTGTCAATTATTAGTGAAGTACCTGCAACGTATGTGCCATGGTCGACAAATCGAGCAAAAGTTAAAATAGAATTTGGAGGAGTTTGGAAGTCTGTGAGGAACATGGCGTTTTTCATCGTACAATAAAAGCGACCTTATTTCTCGCTCCCGTCCGCAGCGTGAGCGGCAGAGATCGGATCGCGAGGCATCTGCACAAGCGCGCGACGGTAGATCCCCGGAAAACTACCTGCATGCTCTACTTGCAAGCCGACCATCAGTTTTTCGCGCGATACGGCACGGAGGAAGCCTGTATCGAGGTGATGACGAGGCACGTGCAAAGAGTCAACTCCATCTACAAACACACAGGTGGGTGTTCTTCCTCGCGGCGATATACCGCGCGCACGGAGCACAGTGAGAGATGATCTAACAATTTTCACTACGAGTCGGGAAAACGGACGCAGCGAAGGCCGAGGGGGGAAAAAAGTCGGGGAAATTGAAAACTACTTGAGGAACGTGAAAAATGTCAGGAGAATCTAATTTAAAATGGCCAGGGAATATCGAGGACGCGAGGAAAAAAGCGAAGAAATTCAGAGACTTTTAAGGAATGCCAGAGAAACTTTATGGGAATATGAACATTTTCCGCAATTTTACAATTTCTACCGCGGTTGATGATAATACAAGGAAGAATTATTTGTCCGATTTTTGTTGATATTTACATTTATATTTATTTATGTTTTAATATTAAGCGCACTTAAGCGTGGTGTTTACACAGAAAAAAATACGATAAAAATAATAAATTAGTTTTCTTTGTATCGTACGCGTGTAAGTTAATTTTTTTTTTGCTTTTCTCACTTATAGTTTCGGCACACTTGCACTTGTAGTAAAAGCGATGGAATTATTAGATGAAACTTGCGAATATCGCTGAAAAAGCAAATAATTAACAAACACAACTAGAGGAAGTAAAGTAAAATACAGTTTTCGAATATTATCCATGTGAATAATTCAGTTTAATGTTACTTAAATTCATGATAATATTCAATTTAATTCAAGAAACATTGATTGTAAAATATATAATATAATTAATCTTCATCCAGTGGAAAATATAATTCTAAAAAAATATTGATTCTTGTAATTTTTTTTCGCACAAAGAGACAGATACAGCGTAATTTTTTGAATGTTAAACATAAAATATAATTAAGAAAAATGGATGTGTGTATATACATATTTTTATAATATTTACAAATATATGTAAAATTTTTTACATTTCGTAATCAATACACATATGTTTTTAATGCTTCTCATATGATAAATATCAATTTAAAATGTTTCAATAAATGTGTTTTATTACTCGATATCGTTGTAAAACATACACTGGTCTACTTATTTGTATATACAGTATTTTCATTATCGTACTGTTCCATTATGTATAACACACACTGAGTTCTAAATTACACGCGAATTACTCTATTTGGACCAGAGAACAGTAATCACATGGGAATCGTCAATGTGAGGCGCAGGACTCACAAGAAACAGGACTAGAATAATGCACGAGTTTAAGTGAATTATTTAGTTCTGACGAATATGCAATTTAAGAAACAACTAGTGTTTGAACAGCATCACGTCTGTTTTCAGATTTCAATCAAGATGGGCGGCCGGATAACATCAGTTTCATGATCAAACGCGTCAAGGTGCACAGCGAGGATGCATTGAGAGATCCTCATTATCGTTTTCCGGGCAATTATGGAGTGGAGAAATATTTAGAGCTCTTTTCAGGTAAGGGCCTCGTTGCCGCTCTTTGTTAATAAGCCGCAATATGGCGTAATGTCGATACGTCAATATACGCGAACGAGAGAATTGTACTGTACTAATACATTGATGGTTGCCTTGTTATAGAGGAGGATTATGACGCATTCTGTCTGGCTTATATGTTCACGTATCGGGATTTTGAGATGGGAACTCTGGGTTTGGCATGGACAGGCGATCTCAAGAATGCTGGCGGCGTATGTGAGAAGAACGGGGTACGCGTAGCGAAATATATTAGTAGACCTTCATAAAAAAATGTTGATTATATTTTTTATAAATATATAAATAATATGGTGGCAACTCTAAATTTCAAAGAGAATTAATTATATTAAATTAGAAAGGCTTTTAAAATAATTACAATAATTTATTTATCTTGTACTCTCAATATTATATTCATAATCCCACTCATGGTGATCAGCTGATCTACTCCGATGAAAATTGATTTCTTGTTGCGTGATTTTTTTCGTGATCGTTGAAACATAAATCGTTGCGAATATGAAGTTTGATGAAAAATAATTATCGAAATAATGTTACAGCATTACCGCGGCAGCATGAAGTCATTAAACACCGGCATAGTGACCCTATTAAATTACGGGAAGCACGTACCGCCTGCGGTCTCTCACGTTACTTTGGCTCACGAGATCGGCCACAACTTCGGCTCGCCGGTACGTATACTTCCGTTAGTTACGTTCAGAACGGCGCGTTCCACATTCCGTGGTCTTGTTATACAATGTTGTCCCGTCAATAAACGAATGATGCGCATGTCGTACATCTCATTGTTCTTTTGCGTTCAGCACGATCCGGAACAATGTACGCCGGGCGGGGAGGATGGCAACTTTATAATGTTCGCTCGTGCTACCAGCGGGGACAAGCGTAACAACAATCGCTTCAGTCCATGTAGTCTGAATGCTATAAATCCTGTGCTCAACAGCAAGGCACGTTCTCCAAAGGGATGCTTCACCGGTGAGTTTTATTCTGTGAGAGCAATGGCGAACGCAATATATCGTGACGTAGTGAGACGAAATTGATTGAACCAGCTTCTATCTGCTCTTCCAATTATTCTACTCTCGTTTGCTCTAACCCTGACGGTACTCTGCATTGTTTATTGTAGAACCGCAAGTATCGTTGTGTGGCAATGGCGTGGTGGAGGAGGGCGAGGAGTGCGATTGCGGCTGGGAGGAGGATTGCAGGGACTCGTGCTGCTATCCCCAGCGCCGTTATCCGCCGCCCGAGGAGACCCCGTGCACTCTCACACCGCGCGCGGTGTGCAGTCCTAGTCAAGTATGTATGATGCTTGTAAAAAATGTGAGTTGGACTGTATTGTCGAGGGAATTTTAGGACAGCTTTCCTTCCTCAAAATTTAACTCAAAGCCGCGCTTGCGCTTTTTCAATCTTGAATATTAAATGCTAAGTGTTCAAGCGTCTAAATTTTTCAAATGCTTGCTTGTTCAGTTGTGTGAGTGTATATTTAAACGTTCATTCAATTGTTTAAATATTCAAATAGCAGAATGTATATATAAATGTAGTCACATTTTAATCAATTTTTTATGAAGCCATTATATCTTTAATATTTGATAAAATTTCTGTTGCACAAAATTGGACGTATTTATAATGCGTCAAGCAATGTGTTTAATAATTGACATGTAGTATTTGTATTTCATGTAAAAGATATTAAGATTCGCTCGTATATATTCGCTCGTTGTTCGTTTATTTTGTCGAAAATGTTAATTAATTTAAGCGCTATCCTATGAAATTTACTTTAGGTAATTTACTCACAGACATACATAACGTAATTACGCGGCGCATCGTGCGTATGACATGATGTAATTTCAACGGTTCTATTTGCTTTCCTTTTCAGGGTCCGTGCTGTACCAGCGAGTGTAATCTCCGTTTCGGAGACAAGTGCAGAGATGACAACGGCTGTCGCGATGCGAGCTTCTGTGATGGTCGTTCTCCGTACTGTCCGCCATCCATTAACAAACCTAATAAGACTATCTGTAACCGCGAGCTGGTTTGCTTCATGGGGGTAGATATTAATTCCATTAAAAACTATACATGTACTTTCTTATTAAATGAACAAATATGATCTCACGTGCACGAAACTTATGTTTCAACAGGAGTGCACTGGCAGCATTTGCCTAGCATACGGACTGGAATCTTGCCAATGCATACCAGGCCCGAACGATCCGCCGACGAAGGCTTGCGAGTTATGTTGTCGACTTCCCGGGGAAAATCAACCATGCTTGTACGTTTATCTCGTATTATTTTGTCGATCGATTTGCAATTTACAAATTTGTTAAATTCAATCATTTTTCTTCGTAGATCGTCTTTCGATTGGAATTCTCCACCATATGATATTCCCGATATGTTCTCAAAGCCAGGAACTCCATGTAACGATTATAACGGCTACTGTGATGTCTTTCAAAAATGTCGCGAGGTAAGTAGAACTTGGATATGGAAGATAGTGCTAGTAGTATGTAGCGCTAATTAAAATATTTTATTCAGGTCGATCCAAGCGGTCCATTAGCAACTTTAAGGAAGCTCTTATTATCCGACGAGAGCCTCGCCACTTTTAGACGGTGGGTCGCTGAACATTGGTATGCAGCCGCTCTGATAGTTTTAGGGGCGATATCGTTGCTAGTACGTATAAAAAAAATTACATTTTCTCTAGAAATAATGTATTAAAAAATTATTTATTTTTAAAATTAAAATTTAGATTCTTAATTTTTCTGTTGTTTAATAATTTATTATTTTTAATCAATAAATAATTCGATGAAATTGTTATATTGATCTATTATAGAATAAATCTATTATAGAATAAAATGTTTTTGTACAAATAAACGCAAGAAAACAATCTATATATTTATATATGTTAAAAATGTTCATTATCAGAAACGGCTAAAGGAAAGATTAAAATGCAGTGAGAGTAAGTGTAGGGATACATGAAAGTAGATTATTCCAATAATAATGTGTGTTTGTTGTAAAATAATTGAGAATTAATTGCTTTTTACAAAAATTCTAGCATTACATTATTATATCTTTCTCTACATTTGATTAAAGTATTGCGTAGAAGCAAACATTCTTGTAGCTGCTAGGTATTATTAATAGATATTAATTTGAATTTTCTTTGTAAATTATATATTTTTTATAATTAAAATGGTACGCGTATAAATATTTAAAGAGAAAGAGAAGTATACATATTTATACGTGATAATAGTATCTTATTTATTCGTATTTATAGATTATTATTAATTATTAATGAACTAATCAAATGAAAATTATTTACAAGCATATAAAGATTTTCTTTCTTCTTTTAGGTGGCAAGCATGAGATTACTAGGCAAACGACCGGACTTGAAGCTAAAGTCTGTCACGATTATCCATAGTTCTACGACGGAAACGGTACGACTTCCGCCGGAAGGTACGGAAGGAGTAACGGTGCATCCACCGGCGGTACGTGCCAAACTTCCTCTTAGCAGAAAGGTCAGAGAGAAGAGGTGTCATCGCAAACATAAAGATGGTGGCCACACCGACAAGTCTAACAATAAGGTAAAATTAATTTGAAAATAATTATAAAATAGACTATTATTTAATTTAATCATTTAAATATTAATATATTAATTTGATATTTATATTTTTGAGTTTAAATGCTTAAAATAAATAAATTTTTTGTTTGTATTTAAAGGACGCCAAAAAGAAACAAAACCAACAAACAAAGAGATCGTCTACCGGGCAGGTCGACGATTTTGCGCGAAAGAGACCGGCTGAAGTTTTGGCTGCTGTAACGCAGGAGAACAAACGGAAGAAGATCACATCCGTTAGAGATAAAGGACAAGGTACTAGCAATAATCCAGGCGGTGGAAGCAGCGGCGATAACGACAAGAGGAAACGTAAAAAGCAACATAGAAAGGAGGTAATTGACTATTCAGCAATTCAAGCGGATAAGGAACCAGAAACAAATACCGATCCTAAGAGTAAAGTGCGTTCTTGGTTATTGGCATCTTCGCAATGTCGACTGGAAACCGGTGCACGGACTAACGTTAACGGTATGCCGAAAAGTAAATCGACCCCGGTGGGTCTAACAGCCAGTGGAGGGGCGGTGGGGTCCAGAGTGCCAGTGTTCTAAAGAACTCATCGAATTCCCTCGCCAGGAAGGAACGGGCGAGGCTCCAGGTGGTATATAAGCCGCCGTTCAGATTCAGCGTGAAGCTGCGAAAGTCCGACAAGGTGGCGCAAGCACCGGCTACGACTGTGAATCATACGAACGCGAATAGTAGAACGGCGAAGTTACCGAGAACCGGGGTACTGCTACGAACAGCCAAGAGGAAGGACCGAGTCAGAATAGGCAGAGCACGACAGATAGCCCCTACCGGTATCGGAAACAGCGGCAGCGATCTGCCGGAACCGGCCAACTCCGATTTGCACACCGTACCCTCCGATCTGGAAGTATTGCTGTCTGAGAGTGAATTTCTCTTCTCGGATACGTGACCATGGATAATGAGCGTATTTGAATTCATTTCGAGTCGTTACGCGACTAAGTAGCTCTTGCATATTTTCATTCCTTATATCCGTGTGCGAGAATAGATAATACTTTAGGATGCGCGAAATGATAGAGTTTCGCGTTGAATTGCTAGCTCGTGCGTGGAAGAATCCCGTCCGAGAACGTGGAAGGGAAGACTCGCTTAGTTGATTTGTTGCCCGATTTATCGAACGTTTTAATTCGTTTTTCCTTCAACTATTTGCTAACCGCTCTGTGCACATGTTGAAAAGACGTGCTGCATTAATTCTCGTCATTCTTCCTTTCCGCATCTCCAGAGTGGAGCGATAGTGCGGTGACCAATCATACGTTTGCGAACATTCGCGCTGTCCTCGACACTCACTGCTACTCACGCGCGATTGCGATGAACGGAATTTGCGCTTTGATGATGAACGTATGAGGTGCGCCGACGCTAGTTTTTCGACGATCAAGCCAGTTTTCTTCTTCCAAAGAAAGGGGCCAAATCCACTGTTCAAAGTGCGACTGGTGTAAACGCCGCAAGTATATAAATATTGATCTACTTATCTAATATTTCCCGGAGCTATGAAAGCAGATTACGATTCGTTTTCGATGGTAGCTTTAAATTTTCAGGGATCAGTGCGCAGCATTAATCTCAAAATGCAACGCGGTATTTTGGGGTGTCGAAAGTAATGCTTTATCTTAAAGTCTCTTTACACTGTGCCTGTGCTGTTACTCTGTACTCTCTTTTTTGACGCTTAGGGAAAATTACGTCTGTATGGCGTAATTTTCAATTAAATGGCGATATATCGGTCGTAAGAAGATGACAAAAGGTTAATTGCGTCGACAGCCTTGATTGACTAACTTTTATTAGTCGCTCCCTTTGAAATTATAGCCCTAGTTATAATGTAGTCGTAATAGATACTACGTTACAGTCGTTGCTATGATACGGCTATAAAATACTCTATATTTTAATCCTAACTGTAACATAGCTATTACGTACTTTATATTATGGCCCTAGCTATAATATAGCTAAATTACATTATAATTGTAACATTATATCTTTAGCTATGATATAATTAATATATAATTCTATATTATAGCTACTGTTATAATGTAATGTATTAGCTACAGCGTTTATTCATAGCTAGGGCTATTGTATCGACGCAGAAGAACAAAACTTAGCATACCACGATCAGAACTGATCTGACGTTGATGGGAACCGTGAAACGTTAGACAGTTCCGAACAGATCGTCGGGAGGTTTTCTTGTTTCTTCGCCGCCCGATCTGCCTGTAACGTTATAATATTATAACGTTATTATTCACTCGTGGTTCCTATTGTCGACAATTCCTAATTACATCTCATGAAGCATCTTGGATATACTTTGCATCTTTAGGACGTCCGCGAGAATTGTGAGACGAACCGACAGATCGCTTATATTTTTAAGATTGTACAAAATATTTTCATTGACATCCATTACGCCGAGTTTTAGCGACACCGACTTTTTAACTGATTTCTGTTGCTCGTGGTTGTTAACAGAGAACATGCTGTTTCTTCTATTTCATACTTAATCTTCAAATCCGATAGCTGCTATTATTTGGTACTTACGTCTCTTTACATATCTAATTGCATTTCTGAGTGTATCTTCCATTTGTAAATATGCTTTACCGCTCAGACATTCCTATTCATTCTGCAAAAGATAAGTCGATTAATTAGACTCGATAGATAATTATTTTTCATATTTAAATTTCTTTCTCAAAGAAATCTGCAGAAAATATCCTCATAATATACTATGTATGTTTTATTATACTGTGTATATTTTATATATACTGTGTATATTCTATTATACGCGGGGATAAGTGTTCTAAAATTCATATATTTACAAAATAGATTTCTATCGATTCTATTTAATTAACATTCTTTTGCAACCCATTGTCGAATGTGTTTGTCGAGTTTAAGTTCCTTGCGCTCGCGGCACGTGCACTCGAGCTAAAAGCGTATCTCGGTACAGAATATTCGCGTGTTCGCGTTTCACGAGTCAGCTTCATGTACATTCCCCTCGAGTGTCGCCGTGATCTCCTGAGCTGCCACGATTTCACTCATGGTGACAAAATCGCGCTAGCCGGCTTGATTAATCGTTATGAAATCGACTAAACTAGCTCTTATTAGCCAACACGTATGAGTACGGTTAATGCATCCTCTTTAAGATCCGTTTACGATCGCCGACTTCTCAAACTGTCAGCTTGACGCGCCGAGATGTACGAGAAGTCGCTGTATATGATAAAGTAACAAGTCGGATCGATACGGACTCGATACTCAAGGATAATAACATTAATAATATTAATACGCTCGTTGGCGACATTCATTTTTGTATCATTCCTTAACAAGTATTATTCAGCGAGAGAATGAGCAAGGTAAAATAACGTAAAAATAACTAGCTACATTTTACGTATAGATTACTAAACGATATAAACAGGGTCTGATAGGTTTTTTTAATTTAATTGAAGCTATTTGACTAAAATTATTAATATCGCTGAGTACTTGCATAATTTAACCTAGGCAAGTCGTATTTCACTAAAAATGTATACCGTTCGGAGTTAAATGAATTAGCTCTTCCGGCGCGAATGAAAATTTTATCTCTGAATTGTGCACTGCTTTGAATTAAAGAAAGTTGTATCGCTAATTGATCGAATTTTGTTGTTTATCTTTTAAAGAACGTGTCGATCGGTTATACATACGTGCATGACTTAAGTTTGCAACAACGTGCAGATGTTGGAGCAAATATTAAAATTATGTTTATATGCGCTATATTATTTGATATGCGTTTGTTAATTCAAAACAATTGGAAGCCTAATTTGTTAAGTGAGCGATGTTTTAACTCCAAAGTTCATAAGAACATTTACAGTTATATATAGATAAACTAAGACTTTGCAAGAAATCATGCTTTGTCTAATGCGATAATTATACGTGACCGACTGTGTTCTGTACGTTCATAATTGATTCTGTAACTACGAAGTTGGTGTTCATAGCAACAATTCTCAAGAGAGATCCGTTTGTGTGCGCGTGTATGCGTACACATACACCCGCTCCCATAAATGTACTTAATTCATAAGAAGATGTGATGTTACTTTTACATGAATCCATAGACAGAATTGTTTAATTCGTAAGGAAGCTTTTACTTCTAAGACCGAGCTGTGTTATATCCTTTCTTGAATTAATCGGGAATTGAAATCGATATTATTTCGGTGAATTAAATTCTCGATGCTATACCATAGTAAGAAACGGTTGAATGAAATTTAATTGAATGAAAGAATAAAAAGAACAAGGTACAGGCTAATGAGAATCAACGCGGATGTTAGTTGAATGGGATTTATCTCGTAAAATTGAGCACGTTTTGTAAAAGGAAAATTCATATAACTCTTAATTTTGAATAACAATTAATTCATAATTAAAGTATTTGAAAATTGACCCGTTTTACTTGTCAAAAAAAAAAGGAAGAGAAAGAAAAGGACAGATTCGTTAGCTTTGCGTAGAGCGTCTGTAGCATTTAAATCCACTGAAATGTCAGTTCCAATTTCCGAATTTTTAATCGATTATAAGCCATGTTGCGCGATTCGCTTTGTTGTGCCTAGTCGCTGCGCAGAAATCGCTACGAATTCGCATGCGAGCGCGGCGAGCGTTTAATCCGTATTAATCTGAACACTCGTTAACTTCGTTTGTACTCCGTTGTGTCTATATGCATCTATACATATATATACATACACATATATTGTGATACATACTTATATATGTCGTACAAGTAAGTAGTACGTATTCCGCTTTGATCGTAAGATTTACGTTATAATCTAAAAACACAAGAAGCAAAAGAACAGAAAAAGAATGAAAGCAAGAAAGCGTGTAGCTTGATCGTAGAATCAGATAGATGGCAGAAATGTTTGGATATTCGGATTCTGTAATGTGTAGATGATAAAAAATGTAGCTGTTATCCTTGTGTAGTCTGTCTACCGAGAGATTTAGTCGCGGTGAAGTGAATCAAATTTGTAAACGCGTATTATAATGCGATCAGCAATTTTCTACAATCTTAAGAATTCGGCAAGCGCGATTCGGAGAACGCATGCATACGAGGAAAGGTTTTGTGCCATTTAGAACTCGGTCTGGGCTACAAATGAGATTGGATCAGCGCAAGAACATTTAGTAATTGAGGAAATAATCAATTTAGCGAAATCAATAGCGAAATCAAAGAGAAACGTGAATAAGTTTAGAAAGGTAAATAGATATCAGTCGGTCTTAGATATCACGTAATAATATGTGTAGTATTTTTTCATTTCATGCACGTTTTAGCATTAAATGCAATTCTTTATTTCTTTTGTTTAACAAATTGAATGACGCATGTTTAAATACTATGCTTTATATATCAACTTAGGGCCAGTTGTTCCATCTTTGGGTAAACTATGTACTATGTGATGATTTATTTAATAGATAAACAAAAGAGTAAAAACAAAGACAGTAAGAAAGCGAGGGAGAGGGAGAGAGAGAGAGAGAGAGAGAGAGAGAGAGAGAGAGAGAGAGAGAGAGAGAGAGAGTTTATCGAAAGGTGGAACAAAGCCTTAGTACTGTTAAATTAGAAAGAAATAATTATAAATGTACTGTTAAGGAAGAGAGAACCATTATATAAGAGAATCAAAAACTTTTTACAAAACATACGTTAAGAAGAAAAAATTGGCGTTGAAAGGAATTCTGACTTCTATTCGATTTTCCTAAAAATGGAAACAGAACAGAATAACTAAATTAAAGTTTCCAATGGAAATTAGATTTCCTTCTAACTCCATTTATTTTACTGAACAAGATTGATCTACTTTTGTAAAAGAATAGCAACTTTCTTAAGCTTCGAGATTCGATCGTGAATGAGAACGAAGACTATCGTATGAATTATCTAGCAGGGAAGATTGCTGGTGTTGCCATAGAATCTTTTTCCGTATGTATGCGTGCTCGTCGTATGGTTTAAGAAAACATCATACTTCAATAGTCATAGCTGAACACATTATTTTTGATCTGTGAATGATGATAGGGCTGAGCGACTGTGGCGATTAGCCAGCTACCCAACAAATTGATTGCTCGTACTTACAATTAATGCCGTAGTTATTCCTATTAAACTCGAGTGCTTCTTGTTCTATTTAACGATTAGCAGGGACGGGATGGTGGGATCGCATGTCCCCCCCGCATGCCAAATGATACAACACACAACACTCGGATCCGAACAAAGTCGAGGGCACAAGTGGTCTCGATCCGAACCTATTCGGAATATTTGATACGTCCGAGAGGCGAGACTGTTATTATTTTAACTCTTATCGCGTACCACATAAACTTATAATTGATATAAGATGGGGCTGCTGTATTTTTACACGGACTTTGTACAAATATAACGGAGTTCTCGCAGGGAAAACCTGCGCCGGGAAGATATATGTACATACCTGTATACCAATAAATACTAAACGAAATGTGGAAAAATGAAGAAGCTGCGACCGTGCAAAGAAAAAAAACGAGCTCACACGTGTATAGTATAATTGCAAGACACGTTTTCATTTAGTAAAAACATTAGATAAAAGAATATGTCCTAATTTACGGAGAGAAGCGGAAGGAACTAATTTTCTATTAAATATATATATCATAAATTAAATTTAATAAAATTAATCATTACACTAGGATGTGAATTTCAGGGACTTAAATAAATTTTTGGAATTGAGAGGTTTTTACACTCGTTATTGCACGGTCGTGAGTTTCAAACTTTATTAGTATTATTCCGTCATCTCTTCTTTTTGAGTATGATTCTTTTATTAAGCAGATTTTCAAATCTTAGATAAATAAAATGAGATCACGTTAGACGAGACATTTAACTGAATTGTATTTTTTTCGTAATGTAATTGTAAATAATTATACAATGTAATTATAATTATAAAAAATGTATAATTTTACTTTTTATCTTTTAAGCATTTATATGTATTACTGATTTTACGTGTTTATACACTTTTTATTGGAATTTTGGAATCTCATATTTAACAAATTTTTAGGGAATTCTTTTATTTATACATAACAAATTTTCAGGGAATTCTTTTATTAATGTCAAGAGTATTAATCGCGTCATTCAGGATCAGTTATCTTTTTTCTTACAATCTTTGTTATTATCGTTTCTATCGTTAGACTGTTTTACGCTCATTGCAGTTAATTGATTTGCATTTTTATCCTGCGCACAAATTTCAGCTTGTCGTTTTAAAATATTCATAGCGTAATTAACTCTATTATTTGTTATAACTTCTTTTAATTCCTTTCCATATTGAATTTCTGTAATTATATATGATTAATTTAATTTCTAACATTTTCAGAATCAATAGAATTTTTAATAGGCATGTATATTTGAAACTATAGTGGTATGAATAATTCTGTAATTCAAAATCATATTAATGTTGAAATATAATGCAAACGCGAGCTTACTTTTTGCGTATCGTATATTATCATCTTCTTTTTGTTTCTCAATATCTTTCTTTCCTAATTCGACTAAATATTGTGCAAACGCGGCATCGATCGCTTCATCTCTCGCTTTACGTTCAGCTTTCTGTTTCGCCTTCAAATAGATTTGTGACTTTTTATATATTTGAATTTCTAATATAGGAT